CGTTAGTCGCGAACTTTCTGGAAACACGAGAGGCGCTATCCTATTGGTCGGTCGGCGCGGTTACCGCGCGTAGATGAGTAGATGAAGTACTTAGACGAGTCTCACGGCGCCGCAGCGTAAGTACTTACTATACATACGTAGTATACATATGGGTATTACAAATGTTTTTATTACTTTACTAGTAATAAAAACATTTGTAATACTCTGTTATCTAAGCAAGTAATGTGTGCTTATTTTGAACTTGATAACATTCTGAATTACTCGTATATCTTTCAATATCTTTAGCGGTATAAACCAGGTTATGTACTACTACTAGTATTGTTAGTGAGGGATAAAGTTGATGAACAAAAATAAAACAATATTCGTATTAAAAATATATTCATCTAATATTTTTGGCATTATTTTTAAGTTTCTTCCAAATATAAGGGGTCTGACATGGGGTGTTATGTACCTACATTAAAAAATACTTTTTGAAATGTATGAAAGAAACGTATTGTATGAAATTTTTGAAATGTGTGAAATGTATGCACCTACATTAAAAGATAATTTTTAAAATGTATGAAAGAAATGTATTGTATGAAATTTTTGAAAGGTATGAAATGTAAGGACCTACATTAAAAGATAATTTTTGACATGTATGAAATGTATGAAAGAAATGTATGTACCTACATAAAAAGTTCATTTTTGAAATGTATGAAATGTATGAAAGAAATGTATGTACCTACATTAAAATATAATTTTTGAAATGTATGAGATGTATGAAAACAAAGTATGTACCTACATAAAAAGTTCATTTTTGAAATGTATGAAATGTATGAAAGAAATGTATGTACCTACATTAAAAGATAATTTTTGACATGTATGAAATGTATGAAAGAAATGTATGTACCTACATTAAAAGATAATTTTTGACATGTATGAAATGTATGAAAGAAATGTATGTACCTACATTAAAATATAATTTTTGAAATGTATGAAAGTAATGTATGTACCTACATTAAAATATAATTTTTGAAATGTATGAGATGTATGAAAGAAATGTATGTACCTACATAAAAAGTTCATTTTTTAAATGTATGAAATGTATGAAAGAAATGTATGTACATTAAAATATAATTTTTGAAATGTATGAGATGTATGAAAACAATGTATGTACCTACATAAAAAGTTCATTTTTGAAATGTATGAAATGTATGAAATAAATGTATGTACCTACATTAAAAGATATTTTTGACATGTATGAAATGTATGAAAGAAATGTATGTACCTACATTAAAATATAATTTTTGAAATGTATGCACCGTACAATAACAATACACGTTAAACATCATACCACAGAGTCATACGCAAGTTAAAAACAAACTGCTATGATATTAATGAGAAAGGAAAATAAACTTTATGGTATTCGAGTTAGGGTCGATTTCTCTCTTTTTTTAAAACTATTTTAATCTTACCAGTTGCCAGTATTCGAAGACAGCTACGATTCGTACTCGATATTTTAAATTATTATGTAATCGATTTTTCAGTACAAATGTAAATAACCAACGACACTAATAATGTACTACTATATTCCGTTCTTTGAAACGGAATACTGCTATACTTAATACAAAATAATGAAAATTTACTGTTCACAACGACTCATTAAAAGCATCATCGAATAATGCGCTGTAATAAAATCCTGTTATCGATTATTAAAAAAAATCGATAATACATGTATTTATTTTTAATATGACAACACTTCATACATAAGTATTATTGGAAATAGTATTATTTGCTTGTTCGGCTATTTTTAATTTACTTAAACTTTTTTTATATGTTTAATTTACAATAATATTAAGTGCTTATTATTGGAAAATATAAAAAAGACATTTAATTAGGCCGATACAAATGACAACAATGCCATCTATGAAAGCATTTTGAAAACATTGAGCCCCGTATTAGCACTGATTAAAGTGTAATTAAGTACTGGAAAATAACAAAATGAGTAAATATATGAAAATTACTTTTCTAAACGCATTATTTCATTTTAACATGTATATATATTTTTTTAAAAATGGATTTAACTATTTTGAAAACACAGTTTTGTTTTTTAAAACGTTTGCAAAACTATGAAGAATTCCATCGATACCAATCACGCCATCTATATGCAACTTTTAGCAATAATAATGGCTATTTCCTCATTGAGTGCCACTGATATTATATATTGTTTGTATTGTTCTGAGTAAATAAAATATAGGTACGTGGGGTGAAAAGGAATTGTTAGTAATTTGGACTCATGACCCCATTACTAGCAATGTACCATGGCAGGTTGACCTCCACGCGGTTCCCCCTGGAAACCATCATGAGAATTTGTCAATATGGGCTAACTGATCTGACCTCATGTTCATCTTATCATCCACCACTGGTGCTCCGCCAGCGTAAACCGTTAGCGCAGGCGGGTGCACCATTCCATTATCATCCATAAAAAAAATATAGATAAGTATTATTAGATATTGACCAGCCAGCGTATCTGTTAGAGATAAAAAATAATAATATATTATAATATAGCTTAACTTAACTAGCCAATCACCCTGACTTCGCACGGTTGTACATGTATTACACATATAAACCTTTTTATTTAAGATGGTGAATTTATTCTATATAAAGATTACATATATTATACATATAAACCTTCTTTTTAATTAAGAAAGTGCCTTCAATTTATTCTATATAAAGATTATTTGAAAACAGATAATATTATTTTAATTAGTTTTCAAGGAATCACACAAATAATGTTGCACCGCCTCAAAGTCATAAATCACAGTGAATCAACTACTTATCTGGTTTTAAGTGTGATTTATTATCCACTTAAGTAATAATTAATGCATTTCTTTACAATTTATAGCTGCAAATCGTTTAGATATCGGATCCAAAGCTTTATAATAGATTAATAACTCAGATTGATTCCCATACCTTGATGTCAATGTCGGCATGGGAATCAATGCATTGATTTTTTTGTAATATGTCGATTTCCCCTTTTAATCATGTTTTTTTTATGGATGATAATGGAATGGTGCACCCGCCTGGGCTAATGGTTTACGCTGGCGGGACACCAGTAGAGACTGAGTTCAGGTCAGTTCAAAGTTCCATCGTGACAAATTCACCAAAAATTTATCACGATGGTTTCAAAGGGGAACCGTGTGGAGGTCGACCTGACATGGTATATTACTAGCAATGAGATCATCGGTCCACATTACCAACAATCCGCTTACTGTGTTGATGATGTTTGTTTACATCAGTTTGCATATTTGTACCATCTTCAAATGTAATGCTTCAAAGAGATCTTTATAAAATAGTGGTTTTGAAAAGGATTGTTAGTAATCTGAACTAATTACTGCATTAGTACCAAGTCTGGTTGACCTCCACGCGGTGTCTCCTGACAACCATTGTGTAATAAGTTCCTGATTTGTCACGATCGGCTAACTGATCTGACCTCATGTTCATCTTATCATCCTCCACTGGTGTACCGCCAGCGGAAACCATTAGCGCAGGCGGGTGCACCATTCCATTATCAACCATAAAAGATAAGGGGGAATGGAATTGTTAGTAATGTGGACTAATGACCCCATTACTAGCAATGCACCATGTCAGGTTGACCTCCACGCGGTTCCCCCTGGAAACCATCGTGATAAATTCTTGGTGAATTTGTCACGATGGGCTAACTGACCTGACCTCATGTTCATCTTATCATCCTCCACTGGTGCCTCGCCAGCGTAAACCGTTAGCACGGGCGGGAGCACCATTTCATTATCATATAAAAAAAGCCATAAAAGTTAGGTGGGAATGGAATTGTTAGTAATGTGGATTAATGACCCCATTACTAGCAATGGACCATGTCAGGTTGACCTCCACGCGGTTCCCCCTGGAACCCATCGTGATAAATTCTTGGTGAATTTGTCACGATGGGCTAACTCACCTGACCTCATGTTCATCTTATCATCCTCCACTGGTGCCCCGCCAGCGTAAACCGTTAGTGCAGGCGGGCACTATTCCATTATCACCCATAAAAGATATATAATTGTTTATTTTTTAAAACAAATTATTTTTGTCGCAAAAATATGGTACATTTCTAATTCGGATTCTAATGAATAAAACAATTGCCAAATGTAAGTACGTAAATGCACGATTTCAGAATGACTATATTCGTTTTTTATTGTGTACCTAACTATTACAGTAACTATCGTTTGATTTTTTTTTAAATGCGTTTAGAAAATTTATACATTCTCTATATAAAATAATTATTCAAATATTCATGTTAAATTGTTTATTTTCATATATTATTTTTATAATTTTGTCTCAATTTCTTCATTAGTATACCCGTACGAAATCGGGGTAGGTAGCCTAATACCTATAAATGAGTTTTTTTTATCCCTGGACAGTCACAACGTCATCTAGTCCCGTAGTAAACAGACTTCAGGGTTCTAGACAACCGATATAAATACTTAGATATTTTTTTTTGTAAATACATACATAATATACATAGAAAACACCCAGATGGATAAAAACAAACATACTCATGAATACGAATATGAAACAGGAATCGATCCGCACCCAAAGGCTTATGCTAAACCTACCTACCGCTAGACTACCGATACCGTCTTAATTATACAATACATCTTAATAAAATCATAAATGCCAAAGTTTGTGAATATGCATTGATAGTTAGATGAACGGATGTTTGTTAAACTTTCACTCAAAAACTACTAAACGGATTTTGATGAAATTTTACAGTACTATAGCCTATACTATATTATTATTATTTCTTATGTATGTTAGTCTATAAGGTATTTATAATATGGGCTATGTAGCCTGAATTAAATAAATAAAAATATACATCAGAATATCATAGGCTATAATTTAAACAAATATTACGTAAATCAGGTGAAATATAATGATAAATACCAAGTAAGCATGATGCAAACAAAATTGCGCGGGTTAACTAGTAATTAAACAACACTAACCTGTAAGTGCAACCACAATTACTCTGAACATCATTTTCCTTTTTTTTTTTTTATGACTTTTTTTTAAACTTATGTATGTTACCCGCGGGGTGCAGCCCGACTGTCCGACCCTTCTTGTCCGGACCGTACCGTCGCCACCGCGTGCGTCACCTGGCAGATTACTAAATTGACCAATTCGCTCTGTCATGTTGATTGGATTGAATCAAGACTGATTTGAGAGCCAAGGACTACAGTTTGCAAGAATCCGTTGACGCTATCTTATCTAGTTATGTTGGGATTTTAGTTTGACATTTGATCTATATTATCAAGGGCAATCTATCAAATCTACATAAGACATATAAATAGAAATAATCTCTATTCAAAAAAACTCAATATAAGAATTGACATCTATACATATTAATAACATTGGAGTGTCTGTTTGTAATATTGAAATAACAGGTTTTTACTACATGCATATGAATATGAATACGGTATATACACCAAAAAAAAAACACTTTTTACAATTTTTGTCTGTCAGTCTGATTGTTCCGGCTAATCTCTGAAATGGCTGGACTTTTATTGGCAGGTAGCTGATGTAATAAAGAGTAACTTAGACTACTTTTAGTTTAGAAAAAATAAAGTTAAATTCCACGCGGACGAAGTCGCTGGTAAAGCTAATATTTAATAATAATAATAATAATTTATTTAGTATAGCATTATACAGTGTGAAAATATAACTAAATATAACTAAGAAAAACTTATAAAATTACTTAAATATATCTAATATCGCGCTATGATCTGAAACGGCCTGTGTCAGAGTGTCAGAGCAGCGCTACTTTTCAGTGGAGCCTCTAAAAAAAAAATAACTTTCTTCATATTTTTACTTTAAATATATTTAATAGTAGGATTTGTTTTTATCGCAACAATCAAAGGATAGGTCGCCCGCCGCCCATCGCCCGTGAGCCGCGACCCCAGTTTATTTAGGCCACTTACTTCATTAAACTTGCCAGTTCCATTGTTACGTACATCCCGCACTTACGGCCCACTGCTCTGTAACTCGAGTCAACCTTCACAATACCAGGCAACAAGTACACACGACCTAACAGATAACAGATGCACTATAAGAGGAGTGTGTCCACGCAACGGAATTACAATATAGGAGAAAAATATGTTACATTATTTCTATCTGTATTCAGAAACCTTGTGTCTCATCTCACTTCAGCGTGATAACAATGCTTTCTAACGAAATTTTGCCGTAAATTTTTACATTCCGCTTTACTTGGCTTATTTATTTTTACACTTTTTTGCACCAGTTACAGAAAATATTAATTAATATAAAAATATGTATAACAATGACGAATATAAGCAAACATTTAGGTAGACGGTAAAAATATAAGAAAAAAGAGGTGGTACAAATGACAACACAACTACGATAGATATAAATAATACATGCAAATATACATAAATAAAATGTACAACTAAGAACCTAAAATTAAAAAGCTTAAAAAAATATAATATGATGACTAAAATATATTATTAAAAGGGGTCCCTTTAGGCAACGTTCCGAAGATACTGGCAGCGTTCCCTCTTTGAATGGCGAATATAATATAAATATATATAGACATACATATGTACATACCTACATAATCATACATATTCTATTGTTACAGTAAATATAAAGGTATTTCTTTCGTTATTCTGAAAATTCATTATAATTCCAACATCTTTAACATATAAAGTCTTGGATTGTTCATAAGTACGAATGAGCCAAAGATTTTTTTTGTATATATATATTTTTGAGTTACGTGTGAATCCAAAAGATATCTATGTACTTGTATCAGTTATCGTTACCCGTAACACAAGCTTTAGCTAGCTTAACTTCGGACTAGATGGCGCTGTGTGAATTGTCCTGAGATTATTATTATTATTGTATGAAGAAGGGTCGGGGATATACAGCCTTAACTCACTTCTTTATTTCCACTCCTAGCTGCATGTTCTTCAAAACAGTATTTTGTTTTATTGTTTACTTTTATTTATTTATTTCAGACTACTCGGCCCATATTATAAATACCTTATAGACTAACATACATATGAGTTAATATTATAAAACTAATATGTTGAAATTGATCCTGTGGTCACGGCACTGACGACGGCGAACTGTCACGGTAGCGCCGATACACCACACCCTTCGGCCAGTAGTCCTCCTTCATGAAGGTGGGCAGCATGTTGGTCAGGACCCGGGCCACAAACGCCTTGAAACTCGCGTTGTAACTCGACTCCAGCTGCGTCACCCTCACGTCAGGTTACTTGGTCCTTATGTAATCGACAATGTCCTGCTCCTTAGTGGCGTAATATACATTGTTCGAAGCAAGCAATAACAGCAGAAGTTTACTGTACCAGGAAACTTCTTCTGTTATTGCTTAACCACACCTGAGATAACTATAGTGTATAACACCACAAAGAGACTACAAGACAGTTACCATTACATTGGTAAGCTTTTCTTTAGGACACTGTTGTGGCGTTTGACCTGGGGTCAACGTTTTGCTATTATGGTTATTGTAAAGAATCCACTTTTCGTCACATGTCGCAATTTGATCCAAAATTCCGTCATTTCTGTACCGATTCAACAAGGCAATACAAATTTCAACAACCATTCCTTTCTAGATATCAGTAATATCACGAGGCCTAACCTACAAACCTACTGAATGGATTTTAATGAAACTTTTCAATAGTATAGCTTATACATCATAATAAGACACAGGCTATAGATATCATGCGAGTATTTTTTATACTAACTGTGCCTGCGGTATCAGTTAGTATAAAAACTAAATAAAATATCATCATCTGCTTCTTTCTTATCCTATTTATTTGGGGTAATATGTTTTTCTCTTCAATTCATCCCTGTTCGCAGTCATCTCGTTATTTTCTCCCTTTCTTACCATATCATCTTTCCACAGTCCATCCATCTCTTTTTCTGCCTTCCTCTTCTCTTCTAACCATCCACATTTATATGTAAGACATATAATGAAACTCAATAATACGATTATAATATTTATTTGTCATTGGGGATGTTTTAAAATTATTAATGTTGACAATGTCTATTCTATATTTTAAACAAACAATGTCTAATAATAATCTTTTAATTTCATATTTCCGGCGGGTTACAAATGGCTCTATTATAATTATAAGATTTATATAATATTTAAATGAACATTTTTTATTAAAAACTTCAATCTCTATACTGGCGTAAAAGATATTTATTTATTTATTAGGTACATTAAAAGTGCTAGTCATCTATAATACATAAATATAAATTCACTCTGTTATGTATATGTACATATGTATTATGTATATTATTATATGTCCCCTCCGATCAATCCCCCGTCCAATTCAAACGGGGATCGAAATTACGACGGCCTCAGCCGAGGTTCGAACCCCTAGTGGTGCCCTCAGACTAAGTCGTATCGTAGCCTTCAGCCGCTCCATAAGTCCTTCCGCGGGTTTGGAGTGCCATCTGTACTCGCCCCTAACGTCCGGTGAAGCTGTATAGGCCAGCTACGGCCAACAGCATTAGAATAGTCCGAAAAAAAAAAATTGTATGTATTATGTACACAGTGCTGTCAAGATACCATGGGTCGTTTTATTTATTAAAAAACATTTTTAGAGCATAAGGAGCTAATGAGCTTGAAGGTAAGTGATCACCGCTGCTTGTTAGAACCTGCAGCATCAGGCATGACCAGCCTCAACACCGGTGGATTTGCAAGAATCTGACTTTTTAAGAAGGAATAAGCTCTTTTATTGAATGTATCAATGTCGTATCGTGGTTGTGCGTATCAAAAATGTATATGTTACCGTGTATATAGTCGAAGATTACCTCTTACCATCAGGTGGGCCGTGTATTTTCTTTTGCCATTAGAAAAAAATAAACGATATACACAAATTTCATAACCACCATTCAAGATGGCAAGACAATTATAGAATAATTAGCATGTTACGAGTCTTCAGGAATGGCAATAATCCTTAGAATGATGACAATTATAGTTGAAATAAGTTTTTTTTTTCTGGAAGAACTGACTGTCAATCATCCATATTATAATGATGGGATTTAATCAATTTAAAGTACAACGGGATTTGCCATTGATCACAGATGGTGTACAGTTAGTTACGTCACCCATCCACCAAAAATATAAAAAAATAAATAAACGGACGTTCAAATAATTTATGGCATTTTTCAAATTCTATAACAATAGCTCGAAACAATCATAATAGTTAAAGACATTTTTTTTTATATTAATTACTAATTAGGGATAATTATTATAGATTTTTTATTGAATCACAAATTATAGTCTTATAAATAAGTAATATCAAAAATACAATCAAACATATACTCAACTATAATTTCCACAATTGTATTCAATTTCTTGTCTTACTGACGACCGTCCCGTTCATAGTCATTGGCTCATTTTATTATATTCTCTACATAATATTACATCTAGCAACCTCATATAGATTCAGACACATTCAATTTATGAGTATATTTATGTTATCATATATAATTAACTTAATTTTATAATATATCAACTTAAATTATAACATCTTTGGTTTAAATAGATATTAATTACACGAAATATAACCTATAATACTAGGTATATACTTGTACGTTATATAAATATAAACCGTAATATGAAAACAATGTATAAAACATGTCCCCTCATTTAGTAAGTATCACAAGGTCTTTCTTATTTAAATTAAAATATATTAATACAAAATATTATTATTTTTAGATTCAAAATTATAAATGATTATACTATTTTTAATTCTTTAATATCGTATAATTTTTAATTAGAACACAATGAATTAAATAAAAAGCACCGTTCTGGCTACATCTTACATAAATGATATATTAACAGGCTCTTTACAAATTTCCACACAAAAATAAGAATCGATTGTCATATTACAAATAAAGTCTTTTATCACATTTATTTAGCTATAAACCTAATTTATTTATTATTAATATAGTTAAAAGGGTTTTTATACTATTAATTTTGTGGTAAATAAAGGTTACCTTTCGATGTTTCGACTATGTTGCACTAGCCGTGGTCGCGAGCCGACTGGAGTAAAAGCAATGTCAATGTTGATAGGTGCCGGCAGTTTGTTCAACTACCGTCACTAAATTGTCTGACGAAAAATTGCGACACGCAGTACTCAGCCACTATTAAAACCCGTTGTTTGTACCAATAAGAAACAAAGAAGTACACGAGGTAAAAGAAAAAAGCTAGATATTGAACACAATAGAAAATAGATAAGAAAAAATGTTAGGACACTTGATACGGCACGATGATTTCATGAAAATTATTATTGAGGGAAAAATAGATGGAAAGAGGGGGAGGGGAAGACTAAGGCACAGCTACCTCAAACAAATTAAGGACAAAATGGGAGTCGTGTCGTATCAAGAATTAAAGAGCATGATGGAAGATCGCGGAAAGTGGCAAGAGCTCCACTGACAAGAGCGTGGCTCTTAAATTATGTATGAATGGGCTGTTTGGGCTATTGTCAAGGGCTTGGACATATAGCACTACGACCTACATAGAACTATTGTGCTCGCCCTTTTTCAGAGTTCGCTACCTAGACCCGTCAGGGACAAAAATTGAAGGATATTATTAGGAGCGATAGTTTTTATCTCCTCGGGATAGAGTATAAACTTTCCAAAGGCGATATTACGTTTATGCATGAGTGGGCTACAACCACATAGGACGTGTAGTGGCGTTTATCTCTTCAGTTTGGCAAAATCTTGCCGATATTTAGGCTGAGTAGATGTCCTGGTTTTTTTTATACCACGTAGGTGGCAAACAATTATACGACCCATCTAATGGTAAACGGTTAACATAGCCTATGGACGCCTGAAATACATGGTGTCACGTGCGCGTTGCCGACCCTTAAGAAACCTTAATATACCCTTCTTGAAAAACCCCATCTTGTTAATACCCGTTTAACCATATTAATAATTTGTACTAAACGCAAAATTTTATAACTAACTAAACTATTTACTTACAAATAGAGATTATAAAGAAAATACATTATATAATTCGTTTCTTATTTTAAACCAATGTAACCTAAATACGGTGGTTGTGTGTCTTAAAAATAATAATCTCACATCGAGTTCAGTTTTAATTCAGCATCGTCTTTTAGTTTTTCGCGGGTTTTTAATAACTCGCACTTCTTTTTGTATTTGCTTTTTTTATTGTAGCACGTGGCAACGGTCGCTATGATCGCAAATGTTAGCGCTATGCCTGAACACACCGTGCCGCCCCATTCCAATATTCTTCGCACCACTAGAAGTTCGGTGACAACGGTGTCGTCAACCAGTACCCTTTGCTGTACCCATAAAATGGGGAAAAGCATTTTGGGCACGTGTTCATAGAGACTGAAATGAATGCAGTAATTAATAATAATAATAAACCATGAAAAGACGATTTTCGCGTCAAGCTCTGCTGAGCTTGTGATATGGATTCTGTACAACAATAAAAAAATAAGACAATTAGTTCCGCCATCTGGTCAAAAGATAGGCTAAGCTTGTGTTATGGCTATACAACTCATATAAGTATAATACATAGATACATTTATATTATAATATACATAGCAAACACACAGATCGATACAAACAATCATAATCATGAATACAAGTGTTTGTATGCGAGGATCGAGCTCGTGATCAACGGAAGTAAGGTGGACTGCTAAACCGCTAAACAACCGAGGCTATATGTAATATAACAAATGTGCATATAACGATTTTATCCTAGATTGTAGCCAGAGTTATGGCGGCGGGTAGGGGAAAGGGGATCGTTAGTAAGTCCACATTATACAGGGTGGCCCAGAAGTCACTTTACATTTTGAAAATTAAATAACTTTTTTTCTAATAATATATTTCTTTTTCTCTTTTCAGAATTAAAAAATATAATCCCTGGAAATTTTTATCATGGATAAGTTTACAACAGAACAACGAGTGAAGATAATTGAATTTTACTTTGAAAATGGATGATCAATTGTTGCAACGCAAAGATCGTATATGCGCCATTTTAATGTTCGACATCCCCCTAGTAGGCCTGCAATAAGGAACTTAGTGAAGCGTATTCAACAAATGCTGTTGAAATCTTCACTCGTTGGTCTGTTGTAAACTTATCCATGATAAACATTTCCAGGGATTATATTTTTTAATTCTGAAAAGAGAAAAAGAAATATATTATTAGAAAAAAGGTTATTTAATTTTCAAAATGTAAAGTGACTTCTGGGCCACCCTGTATTACAACTAGCTACTCGCCCCGGCTTCACACGGGTGTACATTTATTATACATGAACTTTCCTCTTGAATCACACTATCTATTAAAAAAACCGCTTCAAAATCAGTTGCGTAGTTTTAACGATTTAAGCATAAGGGACGGACAGACAGCGATAGCGACTTTGTTTTATACTATGTCATGAAAATACCATTGCTATCAATTTACCATATCAGGTTCCCCCTGGAAACCATCACAACAAATTCAGGGTGAAATTGTTACGACGGGCTGTGTGACCTGACTTCATGTTCACCCTATCATCCTCGACCGATTCTCCACTGATACCAAAGAGGTTTTAGAAACCATACTAAGCCTGTATGGTTCTTAACCACTCTTTGGTGTCCATCAAAATTGAACCTTGCTGTGTGTTCTTATAAACAATCTGTATTATTGTAAAAATTTACAACATTTTCTGAATAGAATACTGACTGAGTTTCTTGTCAGTTCTTCTCATCTCGAAATCATTCCATACTGACGGTAGATTTGACATATCATAAGAGTCTGTTATAGACCTACATGTATAAAGATATATTAATTTAATTAGGTTTGAAATACTCACGCTATGTACGGGTTTGATTCTATATACATGTTCAGTTGAAATCTAGCCGCCACATCTAGCGGAATACCCAGTCTCTGTAACCAATAAAATAATAATTAAATAACAGAAATCTCTCTTATGGGAGTCCCCTCCGATTGATCTCCCGTCCAATTCCAATGGAAAGGAAATTACGCCGGACTGAGCTACGATTCGAAGCCCTAGCGGTGCCCTCAGACTAAAGTCGCATCCGTCAGGCGAGAGTTGGCCTTCAGCCGCTCCATAAGTCCTTCCGGGTTTGGATTGTCATCTGCACTTGCTCCCTATTATTATTAGAAGCTGTAAAGGCCAATTGTAGCCTAGCCTTACTAGCCTTAGTATAGTTCGAGAGTAAAAAATTCTTATGGGATAAAACCGCCATTGTTCTTTCTTAAAATCATCATATTATTTTACATTAAGTTTTTATACTTCAACATAAATTATTATGTTGAAGTATGAAAGTTTGAAAGAGGATTACTGGCTACTACTACTACTACTACTTGCTGGTATATCGGCGCTACTGTGGCAGATTGCCGCCGTCAATGCCGTGACTACAAAGACAATTTTATATGAGCACTAGCTGTCCCGGGAAACGTTGTTTTGCCATATACATAAATAACGCTATAAAAAAATAGAGGTTGATGATAGAAGAAAATTTAGGATTTGTATGTATTTTTGTATGTTGTATCATAAAAAAATAGAAACTAAAAAACTAGTCTAAAAAATAAAAATTTAGGGGTGGACTATCCCTAACATTAGGGAGATGAAAAATAGATGTTGGCCAATTCTCAGACCTATTCAATACGCTCACAAAATTTCATGAGAATCGGTTAAGCCGTTTCGGAGGAGTATGGGAACGAAAACTGTGACACGAGAATTTTATATATAAGATTATAACATTAATTCATTTTCTATGTTATAAAGTATTTATAATATGGGCTATTAGTAGCCTGAAAAAAGAAAGAAATAAATAAATTATATCATTTGTCTAGTACCCATAACACAAATTCTGGAACTAGATGGCGCTAAGTGAGGTGTCTTAGGATATTATAATTATTATTCGAGTTAAAACATAACTTACGGGTTCAACAGCAAAATAGAACGAATGCTTATCAGGGTCTGGTTCCATGCCAGTGACCAGGTCCCTGAGCCGGGGGTCTCCGTATAAGAAGTGCGGCAAGGAGATAAACGCCGGAGACCCGTAGCGGCAGGCTGAGACGTTCATGATACCACTCCACTCGCATGCACCGTTGCAGAAGCATGTGTTCGCCGATGAAAATGATGCTAAGGAAAAAGATAGTCAGTTGAGTTTCTTGCCAGTTCTCCTCAATTGAATTTGTATACTGAACTCATCATCATCTGCTTCATCCTTATCCCATTTATTTGGGGTCGGCGTAATATGTTTTTCGCTTCCATTCATCCCTGTTCGCAGTCATCGCGTTATTTACTTCCTTTCTTACCATATCATCTTTCACACAGTCCATCCATCTCTTTTTTGGCCTTCCTCTGCCCTTATAACCATCTTTTTATATACTGTATGTTGTATATATCCTGTATGTTGTATATGTATGTTTTTATATATCCATAATTTGTATACTGAACTGGACGGTGGGAAAAAAGATTAATATAAAAAAATTACGTTCTAAAGCGACTAAAATGTCCTAAATTATTAAATGTTTTAGAGAGACTTACTTAAACTTTTTATGTATAGCTGTCTTGGCAAACGTTGTTTTTCCATATAAATTAATATCGCTATTAAAAAATAGGGGTTGTGCGTGGAAGGGTGAAAATTTAGCGTTGTATGTTTAATTATTAATATAATATTAATAATTATTGACAAAAAATATTTAGAATGATATCATTGTGGAATTAAAACGCGATAGCGATAGAGATGTTCACCGATTCTCAGACCTACCCAAAATGCACATAAAATTTGAAAAAAATTGGTAAAGCCATTTTGAAAATTTTATCTTTACGATAATGTAACATCACACTTCTTGTCCCAGATGGGGTAAGTAGAAATTCTTTTTATGTAAGTAAACATGTCTGACCAACTTCAGCCACCAAGCAGCTTGCTTTGTCAGCTAAGTCACGCTGAATGGTAGCAGATACAAACAAAATTATACAAATCTATTAAGTAATGAAAGGGATTGAATAGAAGCTGAGTTTCTTGCCAGTTCCTCTCACCAGTCATTCCGAACTGACGGTTGTTTTAACATATCATGAGTCTGTAATAGACCTACATGAATAAATATATTTTGGATTATGATCACTTACAATTATCGAAACTCCTGGGAGATATTCCATATTTGTGATACTGTAGACCTTCATAAACAGAGCTCTCCATGTAGTCCATCACCACGGTCCGGCACAGGTCCGGAGAGAACAACAGTATCTCGGATTCTTCTGTCAGATTTCGGGGCATAAACTCACCCGCAGTGCCTGACAGCTGAGGAAAAAAGGATAATTGTAGTTATAGAAATGAATATTACCCGTGTTTAATATACATTATTTATATTATTAACCATGTCTTAACACTAATAATTTTATGGCAAATAAATGTATTTACCTCTAGATGTTTCGACTAGGTTGCACTAGCCATCTCGTGACCACGGCTAGTGCAACCTAATCAAAACATCGAGAGGTAAATTCCTTTATTTACCATAAAATATAAAATTATTAGTGTTAACCGGTTAATAATATAAATAATGAGTATTATCCGGTTTATTGGACTGCCTAAAGTATAATAAAATATATAATCATCATCATCGCAGCCCGGAAGACGTCCACTGCTGGACATAGGCCTCCCCCAAAGATCTCCACGATATAATAAAATATATAATAAAATACTTAAAATATTCTTCAACGCACAAATATATAAAGGTGTACATGGCGGACTTAAAACCTTGAGGCATTTTCTTCCAGTCAACCATTGGGCAAACAGAAACTCAACTGGGCGGGGAATAATAAAATTTTTAAATTCAAATGTAAAAAAAAGAAAGTAAGTTTGATGTGATTAAATATAAATACATATGCTATGTGTTATTCTAATACTAATCATAAGCTACTACTGCAAAGTTTCATCAAAATCCGTTCAGTAGTTTTTGCGTGAAAGTTTATAATATTACTAGCTGTGCCCGCGACTTCGTCCGCGTGGAACTTAACTTTAATTTTCTAAAATAATAGTAACCTAAGTTACCTGCCAAAAAAACCCCGTCAAAATCGGTCCAGCCATTTCAGAGATTATCCGGAACAAACAGACAGACAGACAAAAATTGTAAAAAATGTAATTTTGGTGTATGTACGGTATTTATATTCATATGCATGTAGTAAAAACTATTCAATATTACAAACAGACACTCCAATTTTATTTATATGTAATGTTACCTCTGCACAACTGCCACTGTAGTACGGCAACCGATAATTGTGATTCCATTTCACAATCTGTCCGGGCAGGGTGCCGCCTCTCTCGCCGGTTGTCACCTCCATGTACCCATCAGAGTTTAGGGAGTTATTCCTCTGTTAAACAAAAACTCACAATTATACTACACTAGCTGTGCCCGCGGTTTCTCACGCGTTTAGTTTCAATATAATATATAGTCTATATGTCATTCTGATGTATAAGCTATATTATTGCAAAGTTTCATCAAAATCCATTCAGTAGTTTTTGTGTGAAAGAGTAACATCCATCCATACTTACAAACTTTAGAAGTTATAATATTACTAGCTTTTACCCGAGACTTCTCTCACATAACTTCACTACTGGCTGTTAAATGGCGCTGACGTAGCAAAATATTTTTCTTTTTTATAAAAAAAACATAATTTAAATAAAAAGTATACTACACTCATTCTAATACCTCCAAGAAAATGTGTACAAAATTTCATGATGATCGGTTCAGTAGTTTTTGCGTGAACGCGTAACAAACATACTTACTTTCATATTTATAATATTAGTAGCTCTCTAGCTCTGCCCGCGGTTTGCCGCGTTAAATTTCAATATACTATATAGCCTATATGTGATTCTGATGTATAATCTATATTACTATATAGTTTCAATAAAATCCGTTCGAAAGAGTAACAAACATCCATACTCACATACTTTCGCATTTATAATATTAATAACTAGCTGTTCCCGCGACTTCGTCCGCGTGGAATTTAACTTTATTTTTCTAAAATAAAATTAGCTAAGTTACTCCTTATTACATCTGCTACCTGCCAAAAAAAGTTCTATCAAAATCGGGTCAGCCATTTCAGAGATTAACCGGAACAAACAGACCGACAGACAGATAGACAAAAATTATAAAAATTGTTATTTTGGGATATGTACCGTATATATATTCATATGCATAAATAAAATAAATTACTAACCTCAAAGAACCAACCAAATCTATCCACCTGGGGCGCCCCGTCCGTTGCGCTCGGAGGTAATGTCTTCGCGAAATCCAGCAAAGAATCTTCATACCCATCGAACAGTAACTCGCCAGCAGTCTTTGATACCGATATCTGTTGTCCAAAAACAGCTAAACCCATTGAAAGACCTTTTTGTTGCAGGAAACCCCAAAATCTCGACCGATACACAGCTGACTGCAATCAGATATATGTACAACATTTATATTTTTGCTTTTATTTTTAGCATCGAGGAGAAACATGCAGTCAAAATTTTTTGTATCACTATGTAAAGTTATCATTTTAATTCTTTTCTGAATAAAGAGTATAAATAAAACAAATAAATAAAGAGTAACTATAAAAAGACTAAAATTTTATAACATTATATTCAAAAAACATAATCTCAAATAGGCAGCAAATTTGCATTTGTTGATTACAAAAATTAAATATTCCTATTGTATTATAATCATAATTTATATTTATTCGATCTTAATGACTGAACATGATTTTAATCATTCAGAAGTACCATCCATCATTACTTTAAACAGATAGATACCTTCACTACTGACAAACATAGATATATAAATAAATAAACATAACACAATGCATATTTTTGGTAAACTGACATCATCTATTGTTTTATATCAGCAATTTTATTAATTTATTATCTATAGTCGAATATAATATGTCATGTAGGTAGACTTTAAACTACCTAGATCAAATATCCTCTAAGTGGATAGGTACTTCTCTGTTGTCTTTGCCACTTGTTTAGCAAATCTTATAGGTAATACAAGGTTCGAAGACCATTTTTTACCGTGTGCAGAAATTTCTAAAAGTTAGAGGTGTGAAAACGGGTATGTATGTATGACCATCCCAAAGTTAGGGAGGTGAAAAGGAGTATGGGATTCTTACCCACTAAAAAACCACATGTGTACTCACTGTGTGGTCTTTTTTATTATTTTTTATCGTGTGGAAAAATTTTCAAAGACCGTCCCAAAGTTAGAGGGGTTAAAAGGGAGTATGAGATTCTTACCCACTAAAAACTACATGGTGTACACCCTCTGTGGTCCTCTTTTGTCATTTTTTATCGTGTGGAAAAATCTTCAAAACACTGTCCCAAAATTAAAGGGGTAACGAAGAGCTGTGTAGGTTTCTTATCCACTAAAAAACCACATGGTGTACACCCTGTGTGATCTTTTTTGACATTGTGTTGTGACACTATCATATTGTTTTGAGTGCAGTACGGACGCTAAGACCGAATGTTAAAATTTTTGTTTCGTTCCACCTGATCGACCATCAGCTACAGTGAAAGTTTTAAGTCAAGCGATGATTTTAGATAACAAAAAAGTCTTGTTCTATCGTACAAATAAATAAAGGAGCTGGTCTGGACATAGTAAGCGACTATTTTCTTAAAGGGTCAAGCTCTGCTGTTGACGGTAGTAGGTACGAGCGCTATTGCTGGAGTCGCCAGCGTTACCAGTCTATAGAACTCCGGGGCCTGTAGATAGTATAAGACAGACTCCATTTCGTTACTAAGGCGACCTATTTAGACCTACTCAATTTTGGAAGCATGTGAACACGCCCCTCTAGGGAGGAAGACTCTAGTCTTCAGGAATAACATTAACATTAACATTCTACCGCGACTCCAGTAGCATGTAGATGGGGTAAGGCAGAGCCCATCTCGTTGTTAGGGCGACCTATTTAGCCCTACTCAATTTTGGAAGCATGTAAATACGCGCCTCCAGGGAGGAAGTCCCTAGTCATCAGGAATAGCTTTAGCATTTTACTGTGACTCCGGCGACGTTGGCTCGCTTTATCGATGGTGTAGAGCCGACCCCATTTCGTTGTTAGGGCGACCTATTTAGCCCTACTCAATTTTGGAAGCGTGTGAACACGCGCCTCCAGGGAGGTACATAAACCCTAGTCTTCAGAAATTAACAGTGCATGATACCACAGGCGTCACAAATTCACCATTTTGAATTTGACGACTTCGGTGGTCTAGGCACAAACATTTGTAGTCATGAGTATAAATGTTTGTATCGGACTGGGTGTTTTCTATGTACAGTATGTATGTATTTACGAAAAAAATATCTATGTATTTGTATCAGTTATCTAGAACCCATAATACAAACTATAGCTAGCGTGCCTTGGGTCTAGATGGCATTGTGTGAATCGTCCTGAGATTATTATTATTATTTTTATATTACGATAGTGGGAAAACTTATATACGGCCCAAATAAACGGTTGCCGTAGCTTATAAACGGTTGAAACATTAGGGGTGTCACCTGCTCGTTGCCTTAATGTACCCTTCTTGAAAAACCCCATGCTGTAGTCTCTTGAGAAAACCTCGGCAGGTAATTAATTTCTCAATGTAAGTGTACGGGAAGAACCTCCTCTGAAACCGCACATTAATATCTGTGGCTGTTTTATCTAACTTTATACGAAGTGTCCCAGTGGAATATAAGTGAATTCTGTAGTCAAAGATTCCCTATTCAAACAAATTACTATCAAGATACAAACATTTTAGGAGATTAATAGTTACCTTTAAAAACCTTTTCACAATCACACTCAGATTAAATTGACAACTTTTAACGAACCTCACAGGCTTAGCACTCAAAGCTCGTTCGTTGCAGAGCTTATGTATTAAGCTTTTTTTTATTAGACGTAACATTTCAAAACTTTCGTAGTCTATTATGGGACACAGTCACCTAGATACATCAAAATAATAATTGCATTTAATAATGTCTAGTAAGACAAATTCAATATTGTCTACTAGGCACTGCTGAAACTAACCCGTGCCACCACACCTTACATTTTCCTATTTTTATTTAGTATATAAGATCATTATTTCTATGTACATATTGTCAGTTTATCATCATCTGTAATATACATCGTATCATTCACCCGCAACATCTATCTATGTAATTTCATTATTTTTTTGCAATTAATAGTCCCAGGTCTGGTGTAATGATTTTGTCTATATTTATTGAGTTTTAAAAACAGTAAGGTAAGATAAGACTCAGTGGTCTAACTATTCATCACCAACGATGGCTGCAGGTTCGATCCCTCGCACGATTGTTTATGTATGATTGTTTAGGTATTATCACACAAACATCCAGACCAATACAAATAATCATACTCATGAATAAAAATGTTTGTGCCGTGCGAAGAATCGGACCTGTGACGATCGGATAGTAAAGCGATATCCTATACCACTAGACCATCGAGGCTGTCCATAGGCTGTATAAGAAACTTACCGCTGCAACAGCGTTGAGGGTAGTAACACTGTCCTCCAGCGTCCCGTTACTGGCGTCGTCGAAGTGCCAGCTGTGCTGGATCCTGTACCCGAGGGTGGCGTTATTTTGATGCCAACTCACGTTGACATGTTTGCGCTTCTCAAGAAATCGGTAGGGACCTGAAATTGACATAGTTCAAAGTTAGGTTCGCCTTGCATCTCCGGTTAGCAACATCACCGGTTAGCGGTGTAGCACATGGCCTTACATCTGAAAGTCGCGGGTTTGATTCCTCATAAAATAATGCGACATTATAATATATCTATACCCTTCCTAGCGACACCTCCGCTTTAATATTTCATCATTCCATTTTAATACATCTGACGGTCGCAGGTTCTATTCCTCATAAAAAAAGTGCGATGTTACAATATATATATATATATACATCTATACACTTCCTAGGGAGGTGTTAGGGATGCCAGTAATTATGATTTTTTGATGAACTTCATTGCCCTCATATTTTTTTTAGTATATTCTACCGAATATATAAAAGACTGTGTTCTGAAGAATTGTTCGACATGCTGCCTACGAATACCTTTGCTATCACCCTGCTCGCCATCGACAGGGAACTCATCCCTAATAACCTAAGTGGTCTCGGAAGGTGCAAATTCAGAGGAGCTTCCTCCCGTGTTGACTTAGATTGTGGAATGAACTATCTACGGAGGTTTTCTCGAGAGACTACAGCATGGGGTTTTTCAAGAAGGATATATTAAGGTTTCTTAAGGGTCGGCAACGCGCACGTGACCTCCCTGGTGTTTCAGGGGTCCATTGGCTACGGTAACCATTTACAGTTGGGCCGTATGCTTGTTTGCCAGCATAGTATAAAAAAAAACCTCTGAAATATTATTATTATTATAAAATAGAAAATATTCAAGTGAAATTAATTTTATACTAAATGGCCTGTCAGTTTGTCTGCTTTTATAATTACATAAAAATACTGTACTACACTCACCCAATTGCTCCAAATTGGGTTTCTCCGATGGGAACATGTCCGCATTAGTCCAGTTGTACAGAAACACTTCAAAATACAACGGTACATCGGGCTCCACCCAGCTGTTGAATGACCGCGTGTTCGGAACTAACGCGAGTTGCTGTAATTTAAATATTTTTTTATATATTATTATTATTAAAAATACGTTGCTGTAATTTAAATATTTTTTTAATTATTATTTTTAAAAATACGCGCGCGCTTTATTTTTCGAGACTAGACATTGCTGTTAAACACAACAAAATCGAAATGTCAAGAGACGTAAATAAAAACCTTTTTTTTTATTTACTTTATTTATTTAGTAAATATAATAATAAAATTATTCACGTTAAGACCCGGTTAATAATATAAATAATCGAAAACAGCCTATGCTGTAAATGATGTAGTACAGTAACTTGAAACAGTCATGTTCGCTAAGTTCAAACCTGTGGCGGCGTGGTGGGCCGGGTCAATGTGCTCCCTCTAATATTTGTGGTTGAGTGCAATGATGGCTGGCTCATCCGTCATTCTCGTGAACGGGTGCTGCTTGTGCGGACTAGTTTGTTCAGATTACGAACACTGATTAGACTATTTGCTTTTGCAATAGCATATGCAGGTGGTTGCTCTTTTCTCCCAAATTTGAATTTAAAAACGAATCTGTATTATTGTATGTTTACATTTAGAACAATCATTTGAAAAGAATACGAGCTGAGTTTATTGTCAGTTCTTCTCATCTCGAAATCATTCCGAACTGCCGGCAGATTTGGCATATCATAAGAGTCTGTAATAGAACTACATGAATAAAGATAATTATTTTGAATTGAAATAGAAGCTCTAAATTTCGCTAATGAACACATTTAATATCAAATTGACAATCAATTGACTGGTGATCATAAATGTCATACGATGACCCAATAGCAATAATTATTCCCACAACAAGAACGGCTGTAATCCACTTAATGTAAAACATGAAGCGTTAGGTAACAACTCGGTTCCAATCAAACGTCAATTGAAAGACGCGGCACTGTCGTCTTATACAAATGATTGGCACTAACTAGACCATTTGACCAGGTCATATATTGATTAAATGGCTTATCCAGAGTAGTCAAGGTGACGCGAGTGCAGATGCACTTGATGTGGCACAGATCAATAAACATTCGTACTTTAGACCTACATTTGTATAGTTCTAATTTAATCTGGTTAACGAGCAAATATATTAGTGGTTTTTTTTTGAGGGTTGATAGTGGAATGGTGCACCCGCCTGCGCTGACGGTTTACGCTGGCGGGGCACCAGTGGAAGATGATAAGATGAGCATGAGGTCACGTCAGTTAACCCATCGTGACAAGTTCACCAGGAATTTAACACGATGATTTCCAGGGGGAACCGCGTGGAGGTCGACCTGACATGGTACATTGCGTGCAATGGGGTTATCAATCCACATTACCAACAATCCCCTTTCCCCCTATATTAGCGGTTTATTTATTCATAATTCATTATAAATCTTTGATTCTCTCGGCTTGTTCTATATTGTGCCTATAAAAGCTCTACTTAGTTTGGGACTAGATGGCGCTGGGTAATTCATACAGACAGGGCTCAGATATTGATATCATTATTTTAATTAGATAAAAAGAGTGTCCTAAATATTACCATTTTTATATATAAAAATAACGCGTCACGTTGTTCGTCCGCGATGGACTCCTAAACTACTGAACCGATTGCAAATTTGATTTGCACATTGTGTGCAATTTCATCCAACTTGAAAGATAGGATAGCTTACATCTCAATTTATAGTCGCAATATTATATTATTCAAGCACCTTAGCCACAGCAACGCGTGGCCGGGTAGACTATACATCTATACATATAAAAAAATTGGAGTGTCTGTTTGTAATATTCAAATATCCGTTTTCTACTACATGCATATGAATATAAATAAGATACATACAACAAAATAGCATTTTTTACAATTTTTGTCTGTCTGTCTGTATATTCCAGCTAATCTCTGAAATGGCTCGACCGATTTTAACGGGACTTTTATTGGCAAGTAGCTGATATAATAAGAAGTAATTTAGGCTACCTTTATTTTAGAAAAAATCTGTTATTGTAGAAAAATAAAGTTATATTCCACGCGGACGAAGTTACGAGTACAGCTAGTTATTACTTAATAGAGGAACATAATGTTTCATTATTATTATGATTACTCAGTAATGGATTCCAATGGGAACGAAAAACGATGTGTTCAAACATGCAACGCTTTAGTAAATTGCTTGTAAAATCTTCTAAGCCTATACCTTCCCAACTGCTGCTAATGGACACAGCCAGAGACATAGTTTTTTTTTCTTAAGGATGATAATGTTTTACCCACCTGCGCTAACGGGGGGATGATAATAACCCCATTGAAATGTACCATGTCAGGTCGACCTCCACGCGGTTCCCCCTGTGATGAATTTGCACGATGGGCCTCATCTTATCATCCTCCACTGGTGCCCCGCTAGCGTAAGCCATTAGCGCAGGCGGGTGCACCATTCCATTATCAACCCAAAAAAAAAACCACCTGCGCTAACGGTTTACGCTGGCAGAGCACCAGTGGAAGATGATAAGGTGAGCATGCGTTCAGGTCAGTTAGCCCATCGTGACAAAATCACCAGGATGGTTTCCAGGGGGAACTACATGGAAGTCAACCTGACATGGTACATTGCTAGCAATTGGATTATTAATCTCCATTACTAACAATCCCCCCCTCGGGAGACACAGTATACTGTCAATATCATAGTGAGCACTACATTTGATGACATGCCCACACTTTTCTCGGGCCCCCTCCGATCGATCCCCCGTCCAATTCAAATGGGGATTGATATTACGACGGCCTGAGCCGAGGTTCGAACCCCTAGTGGTGCCCTCAGACTAAAGTCGTGTCCGTCAGACGGGAGTTGGCCTTCAGCCGCTCCATAAGTCCTTCCGCGGGTTTGGAGAGTCATCTGCACTCGCCCCCTATCATCCGGTAAAGGCCAGCTGCGGCCAACAGCATTAGAGTAGTCCGAAAAAAAAACTTTGCTCGGTATATTTGATTCTAACGTAGCAAGAGTCAAGTCTACTGCCTTCTCTCGGATTCTAGTTTATTATCGCTACTTTCATCAGTGGGGAATCAGTTAGATATTTAAATATATTTCAACATGAATTTTTAATAGATTAATGGATTAAATCGCAAGTCGCAGTACTGAGAACTTAATTACAGGAAAACCCAGAAAAAAATCGAAAAACTAAAACGTAAAAAGGGCATGGACTAAATTTAGTCTATGGAAAATAAGGGCGCAACTTACAAAATCTCTCAACTTCATCGGTAGTGTCAAAATCTGGCTCTATATTGTCAACACTATATTTATGTTTATTTTAAATCCGAACAATATATTTTCTTAATATGTGAGATCAGTCAATGTGTCGCTCGAGCATACCTATCAGTAATTATAATTAACCAACAGTTCAATGACTATTGATACACGCATTCACACGACGCATGACCCTTTATCAACTGATTTCTTATCTAAAAACAAATAATATTTCCTCATAAGACGAGAATTTAGTCTATTGTTAGATACCGTCCACTCATGCATATACATGATATCTCCTTTGGAAAGTTTACACACTTTTCTGAGGAGATAAACCGTCGCTCCTAAACTATCCTTCAATTCTTGTCCCTGACGGGTCTAGGTAGCGAGCTCTGAACTCTGAAAAAGAGCACTGAGCACAATAGATCTACGAGTAAGTAGGTCGCAGGTCAATTAAAAAAATTGCTTTGCTTTCTTATCGTATTATCCAAAATAACATTTTTTACAAAGAACAGTTGTTCATGAACGGGATTTTCATTTAATGTTAGACATAGACACCTATATACCTAAGTGTACAATGTTAATAAACTAACATTTTTTACAATTTCTGGCTTCTTGAAATGGGTGGAAAAAAATAAGGAGTAACTTAGGCTACTTTTATTTTAGAAAAATAAAGTTAATTTCCACGCGGACGAAGTCGCGGGAACAGCTAGTTATAAATAAAATATAAATAAAATTGGAGTGTCTGTTTGTAATATTGAAATAACCGTTTTTTACTACATGCATATGACATACACCAAAATAACATTTTTTAACAGTTATTATATAAATCCATTTTTTACAAATTCTTTCTGTTAAATCAGTTCTTCTCAATTGAATCCGTATACTGAACTGGATGGTAGGAAAAAAATAATACAAAAAACTTAACGCTCATGAGCGACTAAAATGTCATACATGATTTTTGATTTGAACAAATCTGGAATATCAAATAGATCTTAAGCCTCGACTTATACTTAAGAGGATATACTTATAATATAATTCTCAAATCCAAAGGCCTAATCACTATTTGGACAGCGGACCGCGTCATTTGTAAGGCTTTAAAAAATCCGATACAATCCGATAATTTAATTATTACATTCCGTTTTATCAATGAATCAATTTATGTGGTTGAATTTTACTCGCGTAAGCGTATATCTAATCTAATTCTATGCAATGAACTCGTATAAAAGAATATTTTATTTATTTATTCATTTATTTCAGGCATACTAGGCCCATATTATAAATACTTATATATAATATAATATAATATTTACACAACGATTTGTCGTGTGATCCCACTGAAGACGGCCTGCCACGGTAGCGAAACGGCTTGACCAATTCTCAGGGCCACAAACGCTTTGACATTTTGTGAGCGTATAATGTCATAAAAAAAAAATGTCCTGCTCCTTAGTGGCGTAATGTAGACGGGACAGGTACATTGTCGTGGTCGGTGTAGCATGTATAAAAGATTATTGTACATTCTTTTCATGTAGAATCTTATATATAAAATTCTCGTGACACAGTTTTCGTTCCCATACTCCTCCGAAACGGCTTGAACATTTTTGTAGAGAGATGAAAAATAGATCGTTCATTTTCATCCCCCTAAATGTAGGGGTAGTCCACCCCTAATTTTTTTTTGTATTTTAAGGCAAAACAACGTTTGCCGTGACAGCTAGTTTATATTATAAATGCGAATGTTTGTGAGTATGGACAGATGCTTGTTACTCTTTCATGCAAAACTACTGAACAGGATTTGACGAAATTTAAAGTAGTTTATACATCAGTATAACACATAGGCTATAAATATTACATGGATATACAGACACCGCGAGCACAGTCAGTAAAATATACAATAAATAAATAAGTTAAACTATGAAATTATATTTATAATAATCATACTAAAATATTATGGCTGATAACTAACTTCCTCTCCGATTGATCCCCCGTCCAATTCAAACGGGGATCGATATTATGACAGCCTGAGCTGAGGTTCGAATCCCTAGTGGTGCCCTCAGACTAAAGTCTTATCCGTCAGGCGGGAGTTGGCCTTCAGCCGCTCCATAAGTCCTTCCTTGGTTTGGAGTGCCATCTGCACTCGCCCCCTAACGTCCGGTGAAGCTGTAAAGGCCAGCTGCAACCAACAGCATTAGATTAGTCCCAAAAAAAAGCTGATAACTAATTGAACTGCACAAAGAAGGAAGTATGAATAAAAAATATAACGTATCAATGTCTCTGAACTAAAAAACTTGTTTACCTGAAATTTCATGTAAATTATAAATTTATGTATTTATATTTGAATAAATTTAACGTAATAATATGTATGATACATTAATCTAATCGAAACTAGATATAACTGTATAGCAAAGATAAAACTGCAAAGTAACAAAGTGTGGAGTTAATTATACTACCTATGTAATCATCATTATTACATAGTATAAAACAAAGTCGCTGTCGCTGTCTGTCCGTCCCTATGTATGCTTAAATCTTAAAAACTACGCAATGGATTTTTTAATACATAGAGTGATTCATGAAGAAGGTTTATTAATACATGTGCACCCGTGCGAAGCTGTGGCGAGTAGCTAGTAATAAAAAAATCACAATAGAAATAAAATCAGACAGAAATCGAATCAGTTCAGAGTTCAGAGCGCCAGCAAGACCCTGTGATGATGAATCTCTGATGAGAGAATCGTACTCAACCCAAAGAATACTTATAGAAAAACAATTACCAAAGACAAAAACAGTAATTTTGTGAATGTATAAAAAAACGTCAGGTAAAATTAATACCAGTACCAAACATAATTAAGAGAGTAAAGCAAGTGTGTATGAAAATTCGTAATTTTTAAGCTATGACAACTGTAGTCACGCATGTATTATTCATCATCATCATCATCATCATCGCAGCCCGGAAGACGTCCACTGCTGGACATAGGCCTCCCCCAAAGATCTCCACGACGATCAGTCCTGCGCTAGTCGCATCCAATGCCTTCCAGCGATCGTGACCAGATCGTCGGTCCGCCTTGCTGGAGGACTTCCCACGCTGCGTCTTCCGGTTCCTGGTCGCGACTCGAGGACTTTACTGCCCTAACGGCCATCTGTCCTACGACCTATGTGCCCGGCCCATTTCCACTTCAGAGTCGCAATTCTTCGGGCTATATCTGTCACTCTGGTTCTTCTGCGGATCTCCTCATTTCTGATTCGATCACGCAGAGTAACTCCGAGCATAGCCCTGTCCATTGCCCTCTGAGTGACTCTGAGCTTGTTCATGATGCCCATAGTTAGCGACCATGTCTCTGTGCCGTAAGTCATCGCTGGCAACACATATTGGTCGAAAACCTTCGTCTTGAGACACTGGAAATTTGGACGAAAAGATATATCGGAGCTTCCCGAATGCTGATAATATAATATTACTATACTAATATAATTAACAATTAGTCAAAATAAATAAAAATACTATCGACGAGGACGAAGTCGCGGGCATATCTAGTAGGCTATAATTTAAAAAGTTATTATGTAAATTGGGAGAAATATAATTATAAATGTCAAATAAGTTTGATGCAGATGAAGTTACGTGGGTCAGCTAGTTTGATGAACGCGGAAGTTTGTTAATCTGGATGGATGGATGGATAATATCTTTTACTCTTTCACGCAAACTAATGTGTGGTGGTCTATCGGCACTACCGTGGCAGATTGCCGTCGTCAGTGCCGTGACCATAGAGACAATTTTATTTACATATTTTATTATTATTTCTTATGTATGTTAGTCTATAAGGTATTTATAATATGGGCCATGTAGCCTGAATTAAATAAATAAATAAATAATGACTAGTTTTAATGAAACTTTACAATAATATACGAAGTCACGGGCACAGCTAGTCATCATCATTTGCTTCTTCCTTATCCCATTTATTTATGGTCGTTGTAATATGTTCTTATCTTCCATTCATCCCTGTTTGCAGTCATCTCGTTTACTCCCTTTCTCACCATATCATCTTTCACACAGTCCATCCATCTCTTCGGTCTTCCCCTGCCATTATAACCATCCACATTCATATGTAACACCTTCCTTATGATACGATGTGCATTCTTGAGCATTAAATTCAAAATTCAAAAAATCTTTTATTCTTGTAGGACATTTTAGCCGCTTATGAACGTCAAGTTTTTACTTTAGAATTATTTTCCCTACCGTCTATTATATGTCAATACCACGACAGACGATTACTCTTTAACCTCTCCGGCACCGGCGCCACTTTCATACTTACCCTAATGTATTCATTGGAGGGAAAAGGGATTGTTAGTAACAAACAGTAGACTGATGATCTTATTGCTAGCAATATACCATATCAAATTCAAATTCAAATTCAAAAAATTTTTATTCATGTAGGTCTATTACAGACTCTTATGATATGTCAAATCTACAGTCAGTTCGGAATGATTTCGAGATGAGAAGAACACACAAGAAACTAAGCTGGTATTTTTTTAAAATAAATGTTGTACATATTTACAATAATATAGATTCATTATAAATTCTATTTTGGGAGAATAGAATGACCACCAGCATACACTATTGCAAAGAACAAAAAAACAAATCAGTGTTCGCAACCTGAACAGACTATTCCCCACAAGCAGCACCCGTTCACGAGTATGATGGGTGAGCCAGCCATCATTGCACTCAACCATGTTAGAGGGAGAACATCGACCCGGCCCACCACGCCGCTACAAGTTTGAACTTTATAGCGAGCATGACTGTTTCAAGTTACTCCACTACGTCATTTATATTATTTACAGCATAAACTGTACCAATCACAGTTTTCACCCATTACAATATTTAATATACATTATTTAAATTACAACATTTCACAATAATAATAATAATGTCAGGTTAACCTCCACGCGATACCCCCTGGAAACCATCGTGATAAATTCTTGGCGAATTTGTCAGTTTTGACTCTCATGCTCATCATATCATCCTCCACTATCATACGCCCGGCGTAAACCGTTAGCGCGGACGGGTGCACCATTCAATTACCATCAATAAAAAATGTATTCATTCTTTATCTTATCCATTCTTTTTACACCATACATCCATCTCAACATTCGCATTGCATGCAGTCGTCTTTCATCCGTCGCCTTCACACAGCGCCATTTAGACCCAAGTTAAGCTAGCTAAAGCTTGTTATGGGTACTAGACAACTTATACAAATACATAGACATTTTTCTTTCTTAAATACATACATATTATGCATAGAAAACACCGAGATCGATACAAACAATCATACTCATGAATACAAATGTTCGTGCCGTGCGAGAAATCGAACCCGCGACCATCGGACGTAATGCAGTGTGCGCCAGACCACCGAGGTCCTCAAGTTATATGTATAGAATAGAAAATCATTTATTCAAATAAACTTAATTTAAACACATTTAAATAGTCATAACAATTTGTTTTTTATCTACCACTCGTTCGGAAAGCTGTCTCATCACAAGAAGAACGAGCAATTAACTTGTCTGTTGCTCTTTAAATAATCCTTGTAAGTTTACATTTACAAGTCGAAACGTGTGAATACAAACTACCAACAAGCACAAATTTTTTGGGTCAAATATAAATATGCAATAAGATTAAATCAGTCGTAGTGATATGAAATACAATACGAACCGATGCCAACATGGAATCGAATAAGTGCTTCCAGGCGACCGCAGCAGCGAAACCAGCCACAGCAAGCAGCGCAGCGCCGCCCGCCACCACCCAGCGCCAGCGTGGCGGGCGTCCGCGCATCACAACGCACTGCACTGCACTGCAACAGCAGAACGTTCAAAATCAAATTCTAAATCGTGATTAGGTTTAGAATAATAATAATCTTTATTTGTCTCAAACAAAAACTTTTCACACAATACCACTGTTGCCCATACAATAATATAATTTAAAACTAATGAATGAGACAAATCTATAACTCAGTGAGTCCACCCTCTCTGCTATTTTGTTATAGCCTTTATCAGTAAAATAATACAATATGAGATCAACGACGACGATAGCATATTAAGTTAAGTTTTAATCTACAACTAACCCTATTTCAAGGGAAATGGAACATGAACTCGTATACGGTTAGACCTCTCCTTCTATCGATCCGTCTAATTCAATCGGGGATCGAAATTACAATGGCCTGAGCCGAGGTTCGAACTCCTAGCGGTGTCCTCAGACTAAAGTCTTATCCGTCAGGCGGGAGTTATCTTTCACCCGCTCCATAAGTCCTTCCGCGGGTTTGGAGTGCTATCTGTACTGGCCCCCTATCGTTCGACGAAGCTGTAAAGGCCAGCTGTGACCAAAAGCATTATAGTAGACCGGAAAAAAAGAAAGTAAGAGTTGGGCTTCAGCTGCTCCATAAGTCCATCCATGTACATTCACAACCATGTACTCTCTACCTTATTCATTTACCTATAATTTTTTTCGTTTTTTTATGTCTCTAAACATTGTATAATTATAGTTTATTTAGTTTATTATAAGCATCTTAATTTATTTAATTTTTTTTTTTATTTAAATACATTTTTCCACAGACATATTCGTCCGTGCCTTTTTTAATTTACTTTAATATTATAATATTTATGTTAATTTCCACTTTTGTACAACTCCATTAAATAGATGTTACAATTTTAACAGTGACACCGAGGCAAACTTTATCCGTCTGGCCCAGAACCACCGCTGGATTAGGCCGGGTGAGTTGACAACATCAGTGTAAACCATCTTTATTATAGGATTAGATTTAATATATGCATATACAATTATTAATTTATTTAATTTATATCATTTCTGTTGGAAGCCTGGTGCTCTGTATTACAAGTTATGCGTATCTCAGACACCAGCTCCTCACAGTAAATAATAATATCTATCTTATATGACATCTGATAAATTTGTTTATATTTTTATAGTTATGTCTGTGTGCGCGCGTGTGTGTGTGTGTGTGATGTATAACTGATATACATCTAAGTATTTTTGATTTTAATTTAAGTAGTTTTAATTATATGAAATTTATATGACATTTACATTTTTCTGTTTCAATATAGGTTAATGTAGTTAGGTAATTAGTAACATTAATTTTACAATTATATGTAGTAAGAGGGTAAATTTTTATCTGACTACTGACTACTGATTTTATTATATAAGTAAGGTCCGAAAAATGTTTAATTGATAGATTATTAATTTTTTGAGATAAGCTTATAATAAATTTAAGCATTTTACTATAAAGAATACTACATGTATATATATAAATATTTAAAAGTATATATATATATATATATATATATTATTGCCGTCATGTTTGTGAGGAGAAATATATAAATCATATTATTATATCATATTATATCCTCTTAAGTATAAGTCAATTACAATAATAAGTGTGGTATACGCCACAAAGCGTAGAAAACCAGCAAAAGCTCAAAAAAAGACACAATAGTGAAAATAATGTTTATAATAATCTCAGGACAATCCTCAAGTTAAGCTACCTAAAGCTTGCGTTATGGGTACTAGACAACTGATACAAATAAATATTTTTTTCGTGAAATACATACATGTCATACATAATAAACACACAGACCGATATAAACAATCATACTCATAAATAAAAATTTTTGTACCTTGAGAGAAATCGAACCCGCGACCATCGAAGTAAAGCTGTATGCTTAACGGCTAGACCACTGAGGCCGTCGGATAGACTATTAACGAACTTTACAAATATTATAAACCCGAAAGATTGTGAGTATGGATGGATGTTTGTTACTCTTTCACACAAAAACTACTGAACGGATTTTGATGACACTATTTATTTATTTAAATTTTATTGAAATTTGTATACGATACGCGAACTTAATGCTAATAGCATTCTCTTCCAGCCAATATTTATACTTTATCTGTCACTTGTGTCACTCTTTATTGCTCTGGATGTTTTCTATGTATATTATGAATATATTTAACAAAAACAAAATATCTAAGTATTTATATCAGTTGTGTAGCACCCATAACACAAGCTCTGCTTACCGTGAGACAATATGGCGCTGTGTTAATTGGCCAGGGTTATTTATTTATTTATCAATATTTATTCATAAGGACATATCTCTAAAACAACAAACTTAATACAAAGCCATCGTCCAAATAGGCAGTAGCTATGAGAGATAAACTCTAGCTTATCTAATACTCGTTGTACATTATTATTACGGAAAATCAATATATCATTATCCACAGTAGAGTATTGTGCATTCATATGTCATTATATGTATATATCCACAGAACAAGAGTATGGTGCATTCAGAGGCTCTGGAAGAGTCCAAGAGGCTCTGGAAGAGGCCAGAAAGAGACTAACTCTCCTTATCAATGACTAGTTGTGCCCGCAGTTTCACCTGTGAGACATTTATAGCCTGTGTTGTTATAATGTATAAGCTATATTACTGTAAAGTTTCATTAAAATGTAGTCAGTAGTTTTTGCGTGAAAGAGTAACAAACATCCATCCATATTTCACTTTCATCCCCTTCCAGATTACATTTTGGTATAAATGATATCCTATATCCTATATCCTAGCTCTATGATATATATAATATAAATTTGAACATATGGTTCTTTGTCAAGCGATAAGGAACCATATGTTCAAATTTACAAGGACTTTGTACAAACTATCATCCCATATTTCATCCCTTTCCTGATTATTTTTTAATATAAATTATAGCCTATGACCACAGCCGGTCATAGCCTATCATTTATATATACAGAAACTTGGACTAATAGTTCTTTATCGCTTCAAGGACTTAATACAAACTATCGTCCCCTATTTCATCCCTTTCCAGATTATTTCTTAATATAAAAAAAGGCTTATGACCTGCTCTATGATATATAGAAATTTAGACAAATTGTACTTTATCGCATCAAGGACTGTGTAGAAACTTTCATCCCCTATTTCATCCCTTTCCACAATATTTTTTTAATATAAAAGATAGCCTTTGTCTGGCTCTGTGATCAATATAAATTTGGACAAATGTTTCCTTATCGCTTCAAGAGCTTTGTACAAATTTTCATCCCCTATTTCATCCCTTTCCAGATTATGTTTTAATATAATAATAAGTGATATATAGAAATTGGACTACTAGTTCCTTATTGCTTGAAGGTTAAGAAGCGCTGTCGTAGAGTAACTCTTATAAGTAATTCACGATTTCCCGTGGGTATCACACGAGTGCCGTCCTTTGGCCTTGTAATATACGATGGTCATAATAATATGAAACACATCAGTAACCTAATGCTACAATACTTGACCTTATTGTGGTTTCTCGTTGACTTATAATAGAATAGAGAATTATTTAGTAATAGAAAAAAATGTACAACACTTACTTACATGTACAACATTTATTTGAAAAGAATACGAGCTGAGTTTCTTGTCAGTTCTTCTCATGTCGAAATCATTCCGAACTGAGGGTAGATTTGACATATCATAAGAGTCTGTATTAGATATTCATGAATAAAGATATTTTGAAATTTGAAATACGACACTTTTGTATAGTCATGTTTTTTATTCTACCACTCATTCGGAACGCAGACTCATCACAAGAAGAATGAGCAAGAAACTTGTGTGTGTTTTTTCTACATTCGCTCTTTAGAATAGATATTTACTAATTTTTATTAATGATTAGCTAGTTATTAATGAATTACTATATATATACTAGCTAACCTCGCGAATTCGTCCGCGTGGAATTTAACTTTATTTTTCTAAAATAAAAGTAGCCTAAGTTACTCCTTATTACATCAGATACCTGCCAAAAGTCCCGTCAAAATCGGTCCAGACATTTCAGAGATTAGCCGGAACAAACAAACAGACAAAAATTGTAAAAAAAAAAATTTTGGTTTATATACCGTATTTATATTCATATGCATGTAGTAAAAAACGGTTATTTCAATATTACAGACAGACACTCCAATTTTATTTATATGTATAGATTGCTATTAAATATACATATTTTATACCAATTATTTGCTTTATACAACCTATGTAAATAAATCTACAATTCGCTATGGGTCTAAATTATTCATTTAAAATATCTACCGGCACTACTTAAAAAGCATTGCGCATAGAATTAATAAGAATTGAATCACAAACTTAGATATTCAGTAAACAAACTGCCACATGTCGTTATATATATGTAGTACGCGTGTTTGTCCGTACGTCATACCACAAAACGCAGTAGACATCCGTGGCCTTCACACGTGTTAGTTACAAAGTTGCAATGTTAGTCACAAGTGCATCTTACTATTTACTATCACGACTCAATAGTAGTAAATGAGATAATAAATGAGAGAGTTTTCCAATAGTCTATACATCTATACATATAAATAAAATTGGAGTGTCTGTTTGTAATTGAAATAACCGTTCTTTACTACGTGCATACGAATTTAAACACGGTACATACACTAAAAATCCACTTTTTACAATTTTTGTCTGTATGTCTGTCGACTAATCTCTGAAATGGCTGGACCGATTTTGACGGGACTTTTTTTGGCAGGTAGCTGATGTATTAATGAGTAACTTAGGCTACTTTTATTTTAGAAAAATAAAGTTAAATTCCACGCGGACTAAGTCGCAGGATCAGCTAGTAGTAAATAAGATTTTATTTATACTAAAGTAACAGTGCCCGTGACTTCGTCTACGTGCTTGTCGGTATAGCTCTTGCCACTTTCCGCGATCTTCCATCATGCTCTTTAATTCTTGATACGACACGACTCCCATTTTGTCCTCAATTTGTTTGATGTAGCTATTCCTTGGT